TTGAGAAGTGGACCGATAACCCATGCGAGTGTTAGCCTGGCACTTTGGGGGTGGCACGACATACTCTCGCGCTAAGACTTCGAGAGCTGGCCTAGAGAAGAATGCTGCATGGGTGCAGACCTCTGATAGCCCTTTTTTAGAGTCAATCTGCCTAAGTATCGCATGTGGTACTGTCATCACTCAATGAGGTTGAACTAATATTAATATTGTTCCTCTTGAATGAAGTATGGGCTCACGACATTCCTGCATACCACACTCTCGCAGGCAGGCTGCCAGTGCCCACAGTAGACTATATGTAGAGGAGCAGTCAATAAATACACATTATATTATATTTATAATGCTCACCTTCAGACTGTGCTCAACACAAGTTACGATCATGACTACCATTACCCCCAGTAAGTCTCAGCGCATAGGCACTTGATACAGTGCGCTGGGCTTGGGGGTTCAAAGAGGCCGCCCGAGGATGATGCACAGGCAGTGTGATGCACTCTTCAGCCCAATAAAGGTCAATTATGTTGGCAAGACTATGAATGTACAACACCATGACTTTTTACAAACAATAAGAGGAAACTGTATGTTTACTGTGTATAAACATTTACACCAAGTTTACATGACTTCATTTACACACACGGAAACGGTAAACAGTAATAAATGTTTATATACAGTAAACAAACAAAACGGTTGGAGCCTTAATTGAAACCTGGAGTTGAATACAAATAAAACATAAAAAAAATTGTGAACACTTAAGAACAAGGGAAATAGCGGAGAGGAAGAATGATAAAACAGAAACAAAAAGTATAGCGTATACAGCATGTATCTATGAAAATTTTTCCGACACGGGGAATCGAACCCCGGGCTATCGCGTGAGAGGCGATAATGTTAGCCACTACACCATATCGGATACTATTTGGGTGGTAATTGTAGATATATATAATTAATCTGGAAAGGTCGTTTCAAACACGGGTCGCGCGACACGGAGCTTCAATGCGACATAACGTCCGGCCGGTACAGCGACTGGTTGTTGTCAGTTTATATGCACATCACTGCCACTTAATCGCTACGCACCACGCAGAATTGTCTCAAAGCTTGATGTTTGAGCTACGTAAATCACTTCGGTGCGTCTTGTTCGCATGTCCGTGCTTGCTCGCTGAACGCCTCCAAACATCGTGACCGTGGTCTCATGCCCCATCTGGGGCTCATCAATGTGCCACATTAACCGCGTAAACTATACGCTACACGTTCCCTGAGATATCGTAGATATCTGCCGTTCGGCGGGGGCTTTGCAGTCACCACATAATGCCGTCATTGACTGCTCAAACCTTGTGTGGCGTGTATCCCACCACCTCGCCCAGAACTCTTCTAATGGGCCCTGACATTGCGCTTCGATTCCCCAGGCGGACTCTTTCCGCCTATCGGCACCGCCCTTACAAATACACGTGAACTCTGGTGCTCCAGATGAGGGTCTTGGTGCATTCGCCTCAAGGCCCGCCGTCCCTGGATATTGAGTTCTTTGGTATGATTTATCCGCACTACTGCGCGCTTCTAGGTCGCGGTAGCTCCATGCGCAGCGTAGCTTAAAGCCCCCACTGAGCAGAGTGCGCCTTGCTGGCCCCTGGCTCCGCGCTCCCAGCTCCCCTTCCCAGCAGTCAGAGATGTCCTCAGATAGCACCACAATAGAGGCCTTCGTGCTCGGCGCAGCCGCGATCGGGGGCATCGACAACTTTACGACCGAGCTCCCGCGGGTGGTCCTCGAAGCCTTCTTCTTCGGTACGTGCGCTATCTTTCTGGATCGTTGAGCCAGGCACTGATGATCTCCAGGCCTGTATACGGTCCTGGCTGCTATCGGTCTCGGAGTCCTCGCGTGAGTCCACCCTTCATGTGCTTTATCTTCAAGTTGACGGCCCCTCTGCAGCCGAACCCGCCCCCGCTCCCTGCGCACATGGGCGGCAGTGATCGCGTGCGAAGGCATGTACGCCCTCGCCGTCGCGCACCTCGCTATAGACCTCAAGCGCCTCACCATCGACGTTGGGCGTTCGCGAAACCTGCAGAATGTCGCGGCTCTTTGCCTTACTGCTCTCGCGATCGACGCCCCAGACGAAATATGCGCGTCGGGCGGCGAGGCAGGGCTCACGCAACTTCTCGAGCCGGCGGGTACAGGGCGCGAGTGGGTACCAATTACGCTATTGGTCGTTAATGTGCGTTCTGCCGTCGTGTGCTCCTACGCCCAGTTCGCTGACGAGCATGGATGGGACAGATCCTCCTGAGCAGCGGCATCTTGCTCTGGCGCGGCTGGGTGCGCTCCGTGCGCAAGCGCTTGGTCGGTGTGGTGTCGGTGGTGCTCATTCTGGCTGCGATCCGTGAGCCTTCAAGCTTTTCTCGTGCTGCTTCTTTGTACTAACTCCCTCGCAGCGCTTTACATCATCTGCATAGTTATCAACGACAATCTCGAGGACGGCTTTAGCACGGGGACTTTGTTCCTAACGTGGGTGACCATGCTGTGGATAACCATGCTCATGTGCAAAGACATGTGGTGCGTGCTTCGGCCCCTCTTGTACCTTTCCAACATTGATGTCAGCTTACATAGGCGACGCCGCCTTGAGATTGCGCGCAGCATGCACGGCCTCTCCTTCAACGCGCGCCTTGGGAAGCTCACGCATCTCATCGTCAACTCTGGCGTCCCATACGTTCTCTTCTGGGTACGCCTTCCCTGGTTCCCTCTCTCCTTCTGACACTGATACAACATCCGCATCCCAGACGGTTATTGCAGCTTGGTGCATCGTCATCTGGAGTGATTCGTCCACGTCCGGCGCGGGCGAGTTCATCCACGCTATACGCGCGCTCATCGCATCTGCTTTCATCGACATCGTCGTACGTCCCCCTCTCCCCATGTCTATTGACATCTCTGTTGCTAAGAATTTATTTATCTTTGGATAGGGAATGTACACGACGCTGGTACTCATGCTCGCCGCACTCCGCGACATGATGCCCGCAAAGCGCGTTTCGAAGACGCCGAATGTACACCCGCTCGCGCGCGTCCGCCTCTCTGCCGATAGTGCGGCCACTGTGCAAGCGACGGACCTGCCGGTGGATATTCTCAAGACCGCGTTTATGCACGAGGACGAGGGGCATGTGTACGGGGACGTAAAGTCTGGTGGCCTCGTCTAGATGCCTCCAAATCGGTCTGTGTTGGTGTATAATTACGAAGTGCTGAGAGAACCTGTTGCTCGACCGCTGACATTACAGGAACCTTGACCGTTGTATAGTTTACCTTGTGAAGGTGAAGTTCGTCTGTAATCCCCACCATACCGAAAGCCCATGTCAGCGCGATGTAAAATATGGAATGTATAGGGATGCTACATGGAACAAGGACAGATTGCGCGTGAACTAGGTCTGCACAAAGTAATTATCAATGTATATCGTATTATATGTCGCGCAGTGCGGAAGCGAACAGTACATTGAACACGGAATTCATATCATCCCAGACCTGCTTTTGATCTGCACGGCCAAAAACTACAGTATCTCTATTAATGGCCCTTATGAAATTGAAATATTCCCTTTGCGAACATTCCCGGCATCCGCTTCCTAACAATGGCCTCCATCTCGTGGTTCAAGTCCGCAGATAGCTGCCGTCCGACATCCTCAGATGTGATGACACCAAAATGCACCGTTCCGAGGGTTGTAAAGTGCTCAAGTGCCTGCGCCAACTGGACCCATTGCATCTTGCTGTCCCACCAAGTCAGCAACACGTGCGGCGCAGCATAGCATGTCGAGTCCAGGTGTATCTCGAAGCCGATAGCACGTATGGAACGTGGGAGGCTGGGTAGTGCAATATCTAACAGAACCCGAGAGAAACGCTCGAGGAGGGCCTGCGTGTTGAAGACCAAAGTGACTGATTGCACGTCGGCGCATCGAGCGTACAAAGACCAATTATCTGTCCGCGTCTGCAGAGTCAGAGCCGAACAGCGCGGGATGGTAATTGTGCGGCACACCTGGCTGAACCCAGTAGGAACGACCAATTATCTCGAGCTTGAGATGCTTCACAGCTAGCCTCCGGGGACCATTCCAAAACAAACTCAGGAATGAGATGCCCCAGTGGTTGAGTTGCAGAGTGTCTGTAACACCAGCATCGACTAGTCCCGTGAAAAGAGTTCTTAGTTCGCGCACTGGGACGCTGGAGGCTGGATATCCCTTCCAGAGCGAATCGTTCGGGTAGACGGTCTTGACGCGCCATCCGCGCAGGATCTCGTACTGTCGCTCGGCTACGTACCGCTCTTGCATCGATCTGCTGTATCCCGTTGCGTCGTACTGTCTTCGAAGCTCGAGAACATCGATGTGAACACGGCGAAAGAAGACCGCTGTCCGGAAAATGTCGATGATGTATGAGGCCTGGTAGCTCGGAGTGATGCGCAGCAGGCGAAGGCGCGGGTGATCCCAGCAGTGTGGCAGCAGCGTCGATGCCATGTCTGCCTTGGGTTCCACTGCGCATCGTTCGAGGATGATGGTGTGCAGGCGGGGCATCTTCAGCAGCAGCGCGACGAAGAACTCGGGGTCGATTGCGAGCCGGGGAGGGAAGCTGTCCTTGCCACGGGGTTTACCAGAGTTGATAGTGAGCGAGACGACGCTCCATTGGAGACTTGGAATAGCAGCGAAGATGCCGAACGTGCTTTCTCTGTCTTCGCCAAAATGGCGTGGGCCAAGTTGGACGCTTCGGAAGAGATGAAGTCGACAGGGCGTAACCCACGCAGGTCCAATGAGGGCACAACGCCTGAGCGCGTCTTTGTCGTCAGAGAAATATTTTATGATTAAAGCAATGAGCTCTGGTGGAAGACCATTGATCGCGGCGTGCCTGCGAGGAAGCTCTGCCTTTGTAAGCTCGAAAGCTATGCATGGGGTAAGTAAATGACATACATACTGAGTAACGAACACTTACCATGCTTCGGGTTTTCCATTGGTAGCCCTCGGTATGATGGGCAAAATTGGTGTTACGCGTTCCACCAAAGTCGCGGGCAAGAGCAAAGAGACAGCATCAAATAAGATAGGCCCATTACACTTTCATCCATATCACGTGAGTCACACCTGTCACGCCGAGGCTGGATTTGGCAGGCCGCAGAGCTTGTAAATTCAAAATACCCGTCTACACCCATGAGCACAACATTTCGAGTAACCGGAATTCTAGCAGTAGCTCGTATTCGTGTTTCCGGTTACTTAAATTTTCCAGTATTGCTCTCTTTCCGTGTATTTTGAGTCAAAGGTGTCCCCGGAGCGGCTGATTATATAATATCAAATAATACTTAATTACCGCTCGTCGCGCGGTCACAGTCGCGCTGCCCTGCCGTCGCGTCGTGAAGCCGGTCTCTGGCCGTCGGGCAAGCTATGGGCAGGCGGCGGAGGCATGCTGAGGCAGGCTGCGAAAACCTAATGCTCGCTCAGGCGGCCAAATCGATCGTGCTGACCCCACCCGGGCTGCCGCATCAGTTTCGTCACCCGTGCAAACCGCTTCATGGACGCATATCGTCGTGGGCTCACCGGCAAGCAAGCCGCATGGGCTTGCAAGAAGTATCGTGGTCACCGCGTTCTTCCAGATACAATCCATCAGCAAAACCGCCAGCTCTTGGCGGCCGTCTTGGGCTTGACACGGGTGTCTTGAAGCGTCTTGAGCTTAGCAGGCTGTCTTGGGAACTACCTTGGGCTGGAGTATGAGATAGTATAATATGCACTGAGCATTGGAGGTTATATATTGATTGGCCTGAAGTACTCTGTCGTATCCCTGCACACAGTATGCGAGGCAATGTGCTCGGAGTCTCGTCAATGCGTCTGCGAGCCGCGGGGACCCTTAAGCGCCAACTCCCTTCTGGCACTTAGAGTTGTCGGAAGCTCCCGGAGATGTTGACTTGTTGATTTGCCATGACTTCCCTTCTCCCTTCCAACAGTCACGTTCCTCTTCCGTGGTTGCACTCCACCATCGCTAACATAACATGGATCAGAAAGGATAAAGGGTGGTGTCGAGACACTTACAGGGCACAGACGTAAAGGGGAAAGGCCTGGACACAGGACAGGAACGATACAGTGAGCACGTTTGTATCAGGGCAAGGCTATGTACTCAGCAAACCACAACCAATGACAAGATGACTGGAATATAGCGCGTTTTGCTACGCGCAGCGCATTCCGTGCAAGGGTCTACAACCGTCATCAAATACACCCAGCAGCTCAACTGATCAAGTAGCTGTAGTGGACGTGATCACACTCCAGGACATCAGAAGATGTCATCCCCGCCGACCAGGCTGACTCACTGAGGACCAAGCAGTGAAATCAACATGCTATAATCCTTACATTTGATCTTTTCAGCATAGGAGGTGTGTTGTGCCACTGCCACCTGAATTTCTCTCACTCCTAACAGTTGGTTTGTCCCAGACCATCTGGCCCACATGACGCTGTCCATCACAGAATCACAGCTCCGCCTCCACAAAGCCACGATAAGCTAGAAATTTGGTTTGCCTGAGCTTGTATCACTGGTACCTTCACAGACCTCCTTCCTGAAATTCTTGTAGAGCATGTTGGCATACGATGTCGAAACATCCAGGACACAGGTGCCCTTTGGTAGGTTGCAGGCAGCCCAGTATGATTAGCCTGTGAAAGCAGGCGATGGCGATGGTGAGCATGGGCAGAAGGCCACTGGGCGCTGCCCTCTGATTGGCGGAGCGGACAGACCGTTGCGTGCTCACACAAGCAGCATGTTCTGAATTACAACCGCTGTGGGCACCCTGTGGCCTTCTGTCCACGTATATGAAACACCAAGAACCCTGCAAAATGTGAAGGTCGTGAAGGTGGAGGAGCTTGTGTGTTGGGTCGGATGAGGTATGTTCTCATTCGTACTCTGCCCGCTGGCCACTACTCTCACTGACACTTGAAGATCTCATGCCAGCCTTGAAACTTCATACACCTGTGTTAAGCCACATGCAATCTGCCTTCATTGTAATTATTGTCAAGTTAAGCAGGTAGTACACATACATAGTCTTAGTAGAAGTATACAAATACAATTTGTAGCTGTTTTATATAAGTGTGATTGAGCCAATATGTCCGTCTTACCCATAAGCATGCTGCATTGAGCTTGTCTTGGTTGACTGTCTTGAGAGTCTTGGCCAAGACCAGGCATCTTCCCAAGACAAACGACATAGCTTGGCTAACACCAGATGTCTTGGGGTCTTGGGCGTCTTGAGCATGTTATCTAAAACGCTCAAGACACTCTCCAAGAGCTGGCGGTTTTGCTGATGTCCTTGCTGAACTTTACACCGCCAGCATCTCTTCTAAGTAATCCACCCCTTTTGAATGTTCTTGTGCCATATTTTATACTTTATTTATTACTAGAGGTTGTGCATACCCATACAGCTCTATAATTATGTTACTTTGTCTCTGAACACCTGTGCTCATCGCTCTATACCATTTCATGTGGATATCTTGCGTTTAACAGAGTTATCGAGCAGACGCCAACTGCTCGCACGTGATGGTCACACTTTGTCACATATGGATGAAAGTGTAATGGGCCTATCTTATGATCAAGAGCTATCACGTGTACATACGAATCATCTCACGCCATCCTCAGTCTGCGGCAGCCCTCCTGTACGCCTATAAAATCGTATGAAAACGGCGCACAGCGCAAAGTAAATTGTGGTGGGCAGCCTGATGCAGTCTAGGACAAAGAGCGACATCTGAGGTACAGCCTGAGTGCGCGTTCACAGGTGATAGGCATAAGTACAGCAGCGCTCACGGCTACTACACACACGGAGTGAAGGCAGCATATGATGATTGGCACGTATTCTTTCTCTCCTCGTCGCTGTGTGGTAAATGCAGCTTCTCTCCCCCGTAACATCGGTCAAAAATCAATTGAACAAGGACCCATTCTCTCCGGTTTTACACATGGTATTTTTGCACTAAATTTCGCCTGATTTATCTTGCCATGAGATTCGGAAGAAAACTAGTCCTTGTTTATCCAATTGTGGAGAACTTTACTAGAAAAAAACCCTATATGTACTCAATTTTCACTGCTGGCCTGAGTCGAAAAAGTACAGTATTCTCTCCCCTCTTTGTCGCTTCTAGCTAGTGATGTGCGGGCCGGGCCTCAAAGCCACGAGCCCGCCAAGCCCGGTCCAAAAAGCCTGACCCGAGTTAAGCCTGGCAACGGGCTCAAGGCCGGGCTCAGAGTGTAGTCAAGCCCAAGCCCGGCCCGAAAGCCCAGGCTTGGGTGCACCAAATGTGTTGCCGTTCCCTGGGCTCAAAACATGGTAAGAACAACTTTATATACACATACGAGACGGGATATTGACTTACCGGACTGGGCGGTCCCTGCTAGTGTGACTAGGCACAATTGTGCGCCACCACCTGGCGTTCGCCATAGGTGCCCCTTCGCAAACCTTGTCATAACATGGCTTGTAGCCCGGTCGCATGCTCTCTGGAGGCTGCAGTACGGTGGGTACATGCAATAGCAGCCTATCACATACAAATATGCTCACTTTCGTAGCATATAAATACTTATCCTAAGCTTTGCAAGCCCGGGCTTAAGCCCACGGCTTGGGCCGGGCTCAGGTTCGGCTCGGGCTCAGGACTCGGCTTGGCGCCACCACAAGCCCAAGCCCGGGCTTTGAGCCCAAGCTGGGCCCGCACATCACTACTTCTAGCACGGGCATACATATAAATATCACGAGCCATCTAGGCTAAGCTTGCTTCATACACGATGATGTATATTTCAACCTCCTTCACTTTCATCATGCCGGATCACGGCGTGTTTTGCCCTGTATCCGCTTTGCTTACGCCCGTTGAGCCTATTCTTGCCTAACCGCTCACTGTTTGCCAGACTCCTGACCAGCGCCTAAGG